TTTAGTGACTGGCCTAGAGACATCCAGGTAGCTAGCATGAGAGACTAGACTAGCCCCAGGTCTGCTCAACTTTGAAACTGCTGCACTTAACCACTGGTAAATGCTTTCCCATGCTCTCCCAGTAAACTCTGACTTTGAAAAAGAACACATATTCAGGACTAAGTCCTAAAAGAAAAGTAAAGATGACATGCAGTGTGGCTTTGTAGCACTCAACATGATTTTTATATGATCCTGATGATTAGCTTTCCTCTATTTCTACTTCAAAAACTGGGGATAACGGCAACACACTTTCACTGGATCAGATTACCCGTGGCTGGCTCCTTATCATTTGTGTCTCAGTTTATGTGGGACTGCCCCAGATAAACATCGTCTGGTTACACAATCTAAAGTTCACTCCCTCCTTTAATACAGCTCATTTTGTCATCACAAACTTGCAACTATTTGAAACTGTGTTGTTTACTTATCTCTTTACTTTTGTATTATGTCTCTTCCCACTACCAGGTAAACTTCACTAACACCTTGTCCATGGTGCTTAGTGCCATATCCTCCACACCTGCAACAGTAGTGGCATAGAGTAAATGTGCAAGAAATATTTGATGAATGAATGAAAAGTTAACACTGAAGATACTGAATGTCTCCTTAGGGGGCAGGGTAGTCCTGGGCAAGGAGGTGCCTGTGGGTTGGTGCAGGGAGCAGAGGAAAGGGAGATTAACTACGCAAGTGCAGGCTATATACCTGTGGAAAGGTCCACAGAAAGTTGTACTAACCCACAACAGGAATGTTGTATGCTGCCCAAGAGACAGATATGTCCTAAAGTGGACCACAGTTATCCCTCAGGCCCCTCCCTCCCCCACTGCTCTAGGCTCCACAATGACTAGGCAGCCCTCTGATCATTTTACTTCACATATAGTTAAGGGTAGAAGGTAGAAAAGCTTGTAAGCTAAAAAACATAAGTATCCAATTGTCTTGGCAGTTATGTTTTTTAAAAGGTTGGTATTGATAAAGACAAACTGTTTCTTATGGCTTTGATTATAGAGAATCATTTTCCAAAGGTGTATTCATCTAGGCATACTGAAAATTTCATCTGTGGACTTTTAGAGTAACATCTCAATGTTCTGCTCCTCTTAAGGACAACAGTGTAGGATCGTAAGCTGACCTTGCCCTGTGTCTTTGCATTCAACATGCAATACCCAACATTAGTTGTTTCTGTAACTCACAGGTTTCCTGACCTTGGAAAAGTTGCTTAAATCTTTATAGGCCTCATATTCTTCTCTAAAATGAGGGTTTTAAAAAGCAGGCAATCCTGTTTAGATTGGGACCCTTAAATTATGTGAAAATAAACATCTAGCGATATAAAACAGGGATCTAAAAATATGAAAGAGATTCAGTCTGTTTGCCTGATGGGAACATACTGTGTCTCATAATTTCATTAATCTGAGTTCAGGACAAATAAATTGGTAAAAATAAAAAAAGAACACAGGATTTAGCCAGACAAGGAAGGAAAGAAAGGAAGGAACTACTACTTACACTGGAAGTCAGTAATTCAACAGGTTTGTTACAAAAGAACAATTAGCCCTACAGAGTGGCGGTTATTTGTAAAACACGGAACTTAGTTCTAAGGATAAGGTATGCTAGTCACCCTCATGTCACTCCATCAAGCTATTTCTGGGGTTAAAGTGCCAGCAACTGAGCAAGAAAAGGTTAAGTGCCATACCAAAGCTGTTCAAAGAATCTACATCAACCTGCATACACCCACTCATTGTCAATTTATGGAAAGTTTGCCTTTTTATTTTACAGAAGCTCAAGAGTAGTTATAAAATCAGAAGACGATGACAACTCAGAAGAAACAGCTGCCGATAAGCAAATCAATTGGCAAACATATAGAGAAAAATCCTGCCAAATGAAACCAGCTTTGAGCTATAGCTTTTGTATAAGTTCACATCGTTCACATGCATGCTTTATAGGCTCCCCATCCTGTAAATGTACATCTAACACAGCAAAATTGCAAAACATGCAAAATTGTGCTGATGCATATGATTAACTCATTCCAAGCATTTCTTTCACCCATGGTAATATGGAATTGTAGGAGAAAGCAAGAGGGCAATTTTCAGTACATCTATTTCTTAAAATTATGAAAAATGCAAACAGATCCAACCCCAAGGACATGTGAGCATAGCAGCATTAGCAGTGACAGCAACTGCAGGTGCCCCTTCACTTCAAATCCCTAGTGCTCCATCATCTCAGACAGCTCAAAGGCCAAATGGACCACAAGGGCCAAAAATACTTAAATGCATTATAAATCTGTACCTCGAAAGCAAAGAAACTGAAGGACTCAATTTAGGCTAGGCAGAATGAATGTGTCCAGAAAACATAGTAAGAAAAACTAAGAAATTTAATCGCCATTAATTAGGTTTACAGTCTACATGTCTGAATGCGTTAGGTCATGCAACATTCCAGCATAATGTGTTAAAGGAAGGAGCAGAAAGACTTGACTGTGCTGAACTAGTGGTGGCTGATTTGCTGTCAACTCACTGCTCATGGATTTGAATCACTCTAACATTTTGGTCAAAGTTTCATATTGTCATCTACATAACGCTTTTACATGAAATAACCAAATAAGGTTAGTTTTACATATTTACAAACATAAATGTAATCTCCTCATGTAGTAAAGTCTTAAGTTGTACTGAAGAATTGAAAAGCATCAAGACCTCATACAGATGGAAAAACTGGAAGAAGACACAGACTTCTCGGAAATCTAGCACCTGTCTTCACTCTCACAAATAAGGATAGAGAAAATCAGAAAACAGTGGTTCACAGTAGATCCGAGAATTTAATACATTCTAAATTCTAAATTCCTTACTATATGAAGCTGTGTGCATGGTGGCAGGGCTCACTGCTGATAGCGCTGTGAATGGAGGTGGACATCTCACCAGGTCCTTCAAGTACAGGACAGTTATATGACCGTGTACTCCTGTCGCGCAGGTACCCTGGTTGGGATCACAGATGCTCCAGGGACTGTCCCTGCTACCCACTCCTCACCTACTTCTGTAAAGGGCTACCCTCAAGAACACTAAGTTTCTTGTTAGTGGGGGACTGACAAAGCTTTTTAAAAACATTTTGAAAAATCTGTGGTTTTATTACTTATTACTCTGGAAACTTGGTCAAGAAGGTTACTAATATACTTACACATGAAAATACATATGTGCATGCCAACGCTCTAAGTGCTGGGATATATTTTAACATTAACAACCAATTAAAAATACAATCTTAAAACTTTGCCTCAACAACAAAAAGAAAAGAGTAAGTAAATTCACCAACACTAGAAACTTAACAAGTGTACAGATTTATCTTGCCCACCTCAATTGCTCTAAGTAACCACATCCCAAGCACATGGATACCACACACTTCACACCCATTCACTCACAGCCTTTTTCTGGATTCTAAGATAATGGTAATTAAAGCAACATGAACACCTAATCATACATAATGCTTTTAAATTACCTACTTTCCTCCCAAACCTTATATTGCTTATGAAAGACTGACATTTATGGGTGAAAAAAATTATCCCAATACTATTATATTGGCTTAAAAATTTTTAGATTATGCTAAGGAAATTTTAAGGCAGACATATATCTACTATTACTAAAAGATGCTTCTTAGAACTACTATGTAGCTAAACTAATTTTGTACATTAAGAAGAAAACTTTTAAAAAGTAATAATAATGATGTATAAAGACCAGTAAGCACAAAAGAGGGTAGGAATTTTAAAGTCAACTACAATTAATACCAAGAACTCATAACTAACAGTCAGGCCTAAAAACCTGTTCTTGAAGTAAGAACATGAGTCCTTGGCTAATATGAGGTTATCTAATTTTGTACTGTCATTTAAAAAAGAAAATGAAACAATTAGAGCCTATTAGCAATAACGTTTTCCAACTCTCGGGGCAGCCACTGGCATGAATGTCCAAGAAGACAGCAGCACAGCACAATTAGAAGGACTAAACCTGCAGGAGTCAAGTCTTTCCTTGCAACCTTTCCTCTATCAAATAAAAATGGCAGACCCAGTTAAACTCACAGAGCACTGGCCCTATGGTTTCAATGATAAAAAAAAACTTACACAAAAGAAGTATCCAGAGTATAGACAGCACTCTTTTTGTTTTTTCACATTTATATTTTGGGGCACAGTTTTGGGGAAGGGGATACAATGCTGCCTTACAAAGGACATAGAAGTCCCTTGTTTGAGCTACCAACCTCTTAGCCACACAGAAAAATGTCAGTCATCCGTTTGTTAGGACCCAAATCTCCTTCTACTGCTCACAATATGCAACACACATTTTAAGGGGCTGTGGAAATAGAAAAACAAAGGAAGCCCTTGAAATAGAAGCTGATCTTCCTCATCGTGCCCTTCCTTTACCACGGTGCCTGCATGCATGCCTTAAAGCACTGCCACATTGTTTCCACATGCTCAGGCCCTTGAAACTTGTGCCTAAGCACTGCAAAATAAAACTGCATAAACATCACATTTGAAAACATCAGCTAGTAATGATGGGTCAATCATGTGGGTCAGAATAATCATTAATTAAATCATAACCTACAAACGTCCCTGACCCGAGATTTTTTTTTTTTTTTTTTTTTTTTTTTCAAATAATAAGAACAGGCATTGAACACATTGGGGCCATGGGCGTATTTCAGAAAGAATACCAGTGTAATTCATTCTGAAAAACCATTAAAAATGACTGTCCTTTTGCCACTTTCAGGAGTCACAAAACAATTTCACAAGCAGAAAACAGTTTAAAAGATTAAATTTTTTTTTCATTTTCCAAAACCAACATGTAATTGTACAGGCATTATTGAACTGCATAAAATCAAGACAAGAAAAGTGTGTAACGCTGGAGATTTCTTTCAAAAGAGCTTAGAGCTCCCTTTCCTCCGACCACATGGAGATAATGCCCCCACACGAACGGACTACAAACTGGATACATATCGCCAGAGTTACTTACCTTATAAAAGCTGAATTTATTCCTCTTGGCCAGAATTCACAAATGGTTGAAGTAAAACTCCCTTCATTTATTCTTCCAGTGAGCCAAAGCAAGCTTCCCATTAACCCAGTCCATTGCAGATAATTTCACCCAGCACAGGCTCCCCTGCTTTCCCCAGTTCCAAGCCCACAATGATAATCACATTCCGGTGGGGAGTGAACAGATGGTGGATTCCATGGTAACCAGCCCTCCTAAGGCGATTGGTAGAAGTGTGTGACTACTGCTTATTGGGTAACAATCGCTGTCTTTGTGCTCCAGCCTTGCAAATCCTAAAGGAAGGAACATATATAGCCACTCACATGTGCAGGGCTTGCCTAGCAGGTGTTCGGCTATTTAAACAAGGCAATGCAGCCCAACTAAAAGCTTTCCAGCAAATTTACCCTTGGTGTTACAAACTCCTGACATTTCAGAGAGCTAACTCTGTTCATTCAGGGAGAAAGGTCACAAGAGGCTGGACGTGACAAACAGAAAATAAAACTTCAAAGTTAACTTTAAAGATAAAGCATTCCAGAAATCTAAGCTTCATCAGCAAGTTGTTTCATGATTTGCAATCCACATAAGAACTGAAACTGCTTTTATGGGGATTTTTTAAAACAGATCTAATATTCAAATTTGAAAAAAAAATCTTAGTTTAAAAATAAAGTTTTCAAAAATCAACTGTGTTATAAATTAATTTCTGGGCAAACATACATTCATTTTTAGTGCGTTAATTGAACTTTGTGAGGAGAGGTGGTGCTGGATATAAAATTTTCATCTAAAAAAAAAATAAAGAAAAAAATTAAATTTTCATCCAGAGTTTTACCCAATTATAGGATTAAAACATCCTAGTTTTATACTATCTACTGTGTTGAATCTGTTTCAGCATATGAAGGTTAAATACTGATTCTGCAGGAACAATTGCCCACGCCTGGTCCTCATGAAGGAATCAGAGATTAAGTCACTGGAAGATCAAATTGACTGAAAACCAAATATACCACACCAAACCAACTGTTAGAGGTAAACTATAAATCTAGAACATATAAACTATAGGCACTCAAAACGTCCATCATCAGAATCAGCCTGAGCAACATAGTGAGACCCGGTCTCCACAGACATTTTTTTTAAAAATTAGCCAGGTGTGATGGTGTGCGCCTGTAGTCCCAGCTACTCAGAAGGTTGAGGTGGGAGGATCGCTTGGGCCCAGGAGGTCAAGGCTCTGGTGAGCCATGACTGCATCACTGTATTTCAGCCTTGGCGACAGAGACACCCTGTCTCCAAAAAATAAAAAAAGAATAAAACATAAATGGCAAGAAAATTAGGATAATCCAAAAAAGAAAATGAAACAAAAACTGTATATTGTGACTAGACTTTTAGGTATTAATTACCTCCTTACTCTATAATAACTCCGTCTCTTAATTTCAAATTTCTTTTCTTGGCACAAAGCAGAAATGAGACACAAATACCAAAAGAAAAAAGACAAAAATTATTACTAGCAGATGATACGATTCTATTCCTCCTAAATAAAAAGATCCATTTTATAGATGCCTACCTACCCTCAAAAAAAAATTAAAAGAATCAAGTAGGATTTTATAGTACTAAAAGTTTAGTGAGGTAACCATATACAAATATAGCCATATAATGCCTTTATAAGAGCAAAACTATCAGAATACCAGCAAGACTGGATTTATAATGGCAACAAAAAGTATAGAAGTAATATTATATAGAAATGTATGTGAACTATTTGGAGGGGAAAAATGAACTGTGAGAGAAATAAAGGAAAGCTAAACAGAGATATAATATGTTGAAGAATAAGACATACATTTTATAGATGCCAAACCTTCAGAGTTTACCAAATAGTCTCCTAGTAAAATTTCCAGCATACTTTAAAAAAATCAATTTAACAAAGTGACTCTACAGTTTATTTAAATTTTTTAAAAATAGATGAAATGATGAAAGACAATTCTACATGAGGAGTAATAGTAATAACAATGGGTGAAGTAACTGTACCATGTTTGTAAAACATCTTATAAATACCATGAATACATTAATACTTCCCAAATATATGACTCCAGGACAAACCTCTTTCCCTATGAATTCCACACTCTTACATCTGACTACCCATTGAACATCCTTGACTTGGGTGTTTAATAAGCATCTCAGATACAACATTCCAAAACCCAATTCTCCATTTAATCTTCAAATCTGGTCCTCCTGTATCCTTCCTTGTTTTTGGAAATGGCAACTCTATCCTTCCAATCACTCAGCCTGGGAGGCCATCCTTGACTCCTCTCTGACATTTTATATCCAACTGTCTCCTCTTGCCCTGGGTATTTCTTCAAATCCAGCCACTTCTTACATCTCCACCATTCCCCCTTGGTGTAGGCCACACCATCTCTCACCTGGATGCCTTAACTTTCTAATTAGACTCCCTGTCTCCATCTTGTACCCTACAGGCTAAAATACCACACAGATAAGGTCAATTTTTTTCATAAAATTGGCTTTCTCATTTCAATGGGAATAAACATCCCAATCTGTATGATGCCTTAAAAAGCCCTTGATACCTTGACCCCACCCACATTAACTCACTCATCTCCTATAACACCCTCCTGACTTCCCTGAGCTCACTAGGCGGAGTCTGACAATTTTGTTCTCTCCTCTGCACTTTCTCAGTAAGTTAGACACTGATGGTGTTTATCACAGGACACAGTTATTTGTACACATCTCTTCTTCAGACTGTGAGCACCTCAAGGCCAGGGACAGTGTCATTGTGAACCCTGTGTCAACAGCAAGCCAAGGTCCTTGTACATAGTGTGAATTTAGTAAATCTGATGAATGACTAAAGACTGTTTTAAATTCTAGTGCAAATTTAGAGGTACCTAAGAATCCAGAATTAGAAGAATGGTGATGCAAATATACAAATGACACACTATCATGAAGTTATTAAAATATGGTCACAAAGACTATGTGTCAAAGGGGAAATGTTTATATTAACAAGTACTGTTTACTGGTCCCTAATATGTGCTAGACACTATAATAAACACTTTACACATATTTTATATAAACCTCACTGGGCCTATGAAGTAGGTATTCTTATCTGTATTTTTTAGGTATAGAACTGAGATTCAGAATTTAAGCTCTTTGCCCTTGGTCTCACTGTTGCGACAAGAACCTCATTTGTCTGAAAGCTTGGATCTAAGTCATCTAAGTCGCTACACTGCACATCTCCCAGAAGTGGGAGAAAAAATAAAATACAAACTGAATACCCACTATGAATAAACACTATGCATTTGCAATGATATAAAAGTTTTCCTTTTTTTGAGACAGGGTCTCACTTTGTCACCCATGCTCAAGTACAATGGCAAGATCTTGGCTCACTGCAGCCTCAACCTTCCAGACTCAAGCAATCCTCCTGCCTCAGCCCCTCAAGTAGCTGGGACTAAAGGCACGCGCCACCATATTCAGCTAATTTTTTTGCATTTTTAGTACAAATGGAATTTTACCATGCTGGCCTGGCTGGTTTCGAACTCCTGAGCTCATGCAATCCACCTGCCTTGGTCTCCCAAAATGCAGGGATTACAGGCATGAGCCACCTCACCTGGCAGAGAAGAGATTCTTAGGGACAAAAGGCCAGGCTTACCTAGGCCTCAAAATTTTCAGAGTACCTGTGTGGAAGAAATATTAGACTTATTTTCCTACTCCAGTTTCTAAAATTTTTAATATCAAATTATAACATACTAAAAATATATTTACTCCTCCTATACATATTTTTTAATGTTCACTCCACCATGTTCTTGGGAGGATCTACAAACTAGTGAGACAATAAAAATCCTAAAAAGAATTGGCTCACAGTTTTTCGAGAATTGATTCCATGGGAAAAAATTACTCAGAATTACTCAGAAAGGAAAAATAAAGGCAGATCTAAGAAAGGTGAGTAAGGAGTAGTAGTGTCCTCTGCAGCTCCAAGTTCACCTCCGAGTGTCCTGATATTGTCCTCATCATAACTATCCCCTCAAACCACACTGCCCAGAATCTAATAATAGGGCCTGAAACCTAAGTAGGAGAGCATGTGACCAACAGCCAACAATCCCCATAAAAGTTCTTAAGATAAAAAGGTGTTGGAAGCAGAAGCCTGATAATTTATCTTCCTCAAATACTGGGCAGGTGGCAACTTTTCAATCTGCTGTTGCAGCTATTGTGCCAGCTAGGCAGAGATGGAATAATCTTGGGAGTGTTGCTCCATTTCCATTCGTGACTGAATACACCTAATTCTATCTGCTTTTATTCCTCCTTTCTCTTTCCTTTTGTATGAGGCTTTACCCAGGAAGTCAGAAGTTCCCAAACTTTTCAAATCAGAGCATCTCAGTAATTTCTGCACAGTGCCCCAGGGCAGGAGAAATTCCTTAGAGTTCCATTGATTAAGTGGTTTGGTACAAAAAAAACTAATAACTACCTTTGACTTAGCAATTTAGCACCATTTGACAATATATAACAAATAATAATTTCAAGAAAAAATAATATTTTTATTCTATTCTTAAATCACTCCTACTATTTACTAATGGGATGTGGGTGGACCCTACCCACCTCTCACACCATAGAGGTTAAACATTACAAACCTCATTTCCTCTCCCACAATGATTTGTACCCACCAAATCCTCGACTTTGCGAAAATATGCCACTATGGAAAGAAATATAGTGCAACCAAATATTATTTAAAAGGGAACTGTCGGCCGGGCGCGATGGCTCAAGCCTGTAATCCCAGCACTTTGGGAGGCCGAGGCGGGTGGATCACGAGGTCAAGAGATCGAGACCATCCTGGTCAACACGGTGAAACCCCGTCTCTACTAAAAATACAAAAAATTAGCTGGGCATGGTGGTGCGTGCCTGTAATCCCAGCTACTCAGGAGGCTGAGGCAGGAGAATTGCCTGAACCCAGGAGACGGAGGTTGCGGTGAGCTGAGATCGCGCCATTGCACTCCAGCCTGGATAACATGAGTGAAACTCTGTCTCAAAAAAAAAAAAAAAAAAAAAGGAACTGTCTAGACGTAGGAGTTTATACAATATTTGATAGATGTTGCTGTTTTTCCCTGGAAATTTATAAATACCCTGCAGACAGCAACCCTGTGAGTTGGCAATGATACCCAAAGCACCTAAGAGACTAAGGGCTTAAACACATAACTCCCAAAATAGGCACATATTTTGGGAGTTATGTGTTTAAGCCCTTAGCCTCTATGAAGTCCAACTATAGCGCCCTAATTATAAATTCAGAAACCTAGACTCTAGTTCCTGTTTAGCCAGCTCTATGACACAGGCAAGCCATTATTCTGTCTGGTCCTGGGCTCTTCAGTCACAAAAGGAGGACACTGGCTTAGGCCATTTCCAAAGTTCTCCTCAGCTCTAAAATAATGAGAATAAACATCAGAGGAGAGTCTTACTGAGTCAAGAAGAAGAAAAAAGGCTGAAGTAACAAAGACAAGAAACATTTATTTTCCAGAAGGAAATAGCATAGTAAAATTTAAAATAACATACCTCTGCATACTATCCTCATGTGTGGTAGGAATGAAAGGCCTGAGCAGGAAGTATTGCTCAAATGCCAGTTGAAACGGCAATTGCACTTGCACAACAATGCCCAATTTAGGATGTACTTTTAGTAAAAATGCCACAAGCTCTGCTACTGGTTTCACTTGTCTTTCCATTTTTGCTGAAATTCCTTCTTGACAAATGGTTTATATTATGAATTGACCAGATATTGTTAGTGTTATCTGTGACTATGAAACAGATTCAAATTACCAATCCTAACTGGGGATCAAACATATCAGTGAACCCAAAAAGCCTAAACAGCAGAGCTAACGAGTCACAGACACTGAAACCATAAAATACAATACTATAAACAGGTGGTATCTCCTTAGATATTTTCTATATATTACCAAGAATTTTTGCATTTTTGGTTAATAGTCTATGAATTTTTTGTTTTAATTTAATAGGTTTTTTAATGATTCGTTTCATAAAAGTGATTTAGAGCAAAAATGTATTTGCAGGGTACAGAGTACTTTATAAGGAAGATAAACCACTTGAAATATTAATAAATTGAACTTCTCTACCCAGTTTGCAAGGGGTTAAGGTTAAGAGTCTAGCCCGA